TGATAAAATTGTAGGTCAAATTTATTTAAAATCTTCAAGTAGTGTGCCACTTGAAGTAAGATGAAATATCAACAAACTTTTTTACTCCTTTAAATTTCTTTGAAAATTTTCTTTCCTTTTTCTTAAAATAATGATATACTCCAATAGAAACAATAATGACAATAATGATGACAACCATCATACCAATAACTATGATAGCATTGTGTGAACCTTTCTTATGTTGCTCTGATAAAATTGTTTGTCAAATTTATTTAAAATCTTCTTGAGTAGTTTGCCACCTGAGGTAAGATGAAGTATCAATAAAATATTTCACTCATTCAATTTCCTTTAAATTAATTTAAACACTTTTTTTTGTCTTCCAATTTTTAGGGGACAACAGTACAGTAATACAGTCAGGTGTTACATTGTTCAAAGTCATCTTTGTCCCTACATACATGTTCATCTTAGGAGTAATGGCAGGAGTGTTGGCCCTTTCATTAATTCTGGCATGGAGGTATTGTATGCGAGTTCATTGAACCCCCTATCTCCCAGAACTGATTACGGTGCGACTCCTCTCTATAATATCCTATCATTCACAGCAAACAGGTAATAAAAAATACTCAACCTTATTGGGTAGAAGTTGTTACCTTGATGTAACACCAAATTCTCTCAACTAATTTACAAGGAAATGTGTAGCAGCTAGAGGAGAGAATTAATCACCAGTCCTTAAGATTAGGGAGTTTAAAGGTTAATAAAAGAGCTCAATGTATGGAATTGTTTTTCTTTCCTTTGGGATTGTGAACCAGGAAATAAATTATGGAAAAAAAAATATTCAGCCAGCACTTTGTTTTGCAGATACCTTCAGAGTGTTGATTTGTCAGGAGGATCAGCATTTGAGCTGCCACATTTCCATAAAATTCCAAACAAGGATGACTATGAAACCTTCATTAGACAAAATCTTCTAGACACAAAGAACAACCCTCAGGAGAGCTTGGAAAACACTATTTATTTGACAAGAGGTTGTCACATTGATGATGAAGGATCTCATTACCTTGAAATATCCAGTGCTGGCAAGGCTGATGCACAAAGTAGTTTTGTCACACCTTTTACTGCAACTTGTAACACTGAACCATCAGGTCTGTATTTCATGGGGGCTGCACAGGAGAACCAGGTTCCCAATCAAGATTTCACAGTTAAGTTACACAGCCACCAGCTTGAATACTACAAATGCAGCAGTGAAGTGAATTCCAAAGATGAAAATTATACTCAGATTGAAAATCATACCAATGTGAATTATGAGAGTCACAATGAATTATGTGAAAAACTGCCACAGATTTGCAAGAATAATGGGGAAGTTAAAGACCGCGAAAGAACTAAAAGTTTACCAGACGTCAAAGATACTTTAGTTCCATCTACTTCAACAAAGAAAGCTCAGTCACTTGAAAATTTGGATGCCTCCCTTAGCAGCAACATTTCCCATTCACCTTTACTGACATATTCATCTCCATCAAGTGTACAATCTCAATTTGATGAACAAAAAGCTACAGCAGAAGTTACAAGGAACTCTGCTTTACAACCTCATTACGGAATGGTTGTAGCGATAGACAATAGTAATATTTACATTGGTGCTCAGGAATGTGCAAGCATGGTGAATCCAGGAGATCGCAAGAGACATGTACGAGTCAAGCTACAGAATCTTGTGAGAATTCTTGAAAAAGATAGAACTAAAACGAGAGGCTTTGCTTGTGGATCCAGCCCACCTGCAACAGAACATGTTTGGGAAGTTTACAGGTATAAACGTCTGTCCAGAAATGCATGCTGTAACAAAATGGTGAAAATTCATTGTCAATTCTGCCTAGCTGATTTCTCTTTGACTAAAATTCGCCAAAAACTTCCAATCCATGAACATTCACTCAGTTTGATGAAATTTTGTCAAACTAAGTGAATGTCACCCTAGTTTTTTGAAGGTTGCACAGTGTTATAAAGTCACCAGATAGGTAGCTGAGGCTAAATCTGTACAACATAATCCAAGCAACATGTGGAAACTAAGTGCTAACTTGAGTGTCAAATCATTGTAAAGGAATTATATCAACTGAAATAACAATGATAATGATGATGAAAATAGCAATAAGATTAATGATTTATTTAAACATAAAATAATAATAATAATAATAATAGCAATGAAGACAATGATGACAAGGACATGGTGTAATTCTGGAAAAAAAAAAAAAACAGGTTGTTGTTGTGAGGTAATGTTGAATTAGAGCAGTTTTTTTTTTTTTCCTGTAATTCAAGTTATTTAAAAGCTAACTCTTAGCATTAGACTTGTTCTTAAATTGTCTTAAATGCAAAATAATTTCCACAATTTTTTTTTTCTGCAAATAGGCGCATGGGATATATTGTTGATCTTGAGGAGAGAAGAGGAAAAGATGAGCAAAGAGTAGATGAAGGACTTCACTTGTGGATCTACAAGGTTAGTAATTCTCCTTACTGTCTGCCATACAGTTCTTGCGATGTTCACTGGGAGAATTTGGTGTTGGATCAACTTATAATCCCTTATTGATATTTTTCTTTATTCTCATCACTTGTCTGCTTGATATTGTATTGATATTGTAAGGAGAAATTCTGTCTTGGTCACTCGTGGGAGTTAAAGGGTTAAACATTTAAAATTTGATCAATGCTGACGCTGTTTCGAGCAACAAATTTAGAGAGTCTTAAGAATCAGGAAACAGGAAACCTTGCCAACATTATTACCACTAATTATTTGTGACTAGGATATTTCCCTCTCATCATATGCTAGACAAAATAGCCTACAGTGCTTGAAGGCTTCTAGACTGGTTTTGTAAGAAATTTAGCAATCAGATAAGATGCTCTCTCTCTGATTGTTGTGGTTTGAACTTGTAAAACAACATGCAAGACCGGGTGGTGTTTGTGAAAGAGACTTGTTGTAAAAGAGTACTCAAAACTTCTAAAACATTTTCCTTATGGATGCTATTCAATATCCAGGCCCTTTGTGAGCTGACTCCAGGGATACTGGTATTAGCTACAGGAGATGGAATGAAAGGCAAGTCAGAGTGTGACACCAGTTTCCCCAGATGTGCCATCACTGCTCTAGAGAGGGGATGGAGTGTTGAGGTGTTCTCATGGAAACACAGCACGAGTAGCGAGTGGATTAAACTGGCAAAAAAGTACCCTGAGGCACTGACAATCAACTACTTAGACAAGTAAGAATCATGGAACACATATGAGTAGAAAATATTTGCTGAAAGCCTTGGTATACAAATATTGTAAATTAATGGAATCCCTCTACTAAATGGTTAACAACCCTCCCCTCAACAGAACAGAAATCTTGTAATGCATCTCTAGTAAATTACTAGAAAGTCCCTCCTTCCCCCAAACATTATTGCCTAAAGAGGAAAAGATAAATGAGAGATGTCAGAAATATTGAAAAAGTAGTGGAGTGCGCCAAGACTTTTGCCACTCCAATTAAATTGGCCCCCTGCATTTTGGAGAAATGTTGATCAGATCCATTATTCCAACTTGGTTCATTTGATAAAGGTTTCAGTTTTCATCTTTTTAAAATGTTTTCTTTCAACTACTCATTTGTTTATGTCAACAGACATGTCAATTATATCACATTTGTGGATGGAAAATATGGAAGGAAATGTTTGCCTCTTCCAGCATCAGATGCATAATGTCTGCAATAAGAGGAAGCAGAGGAAGAAGAAGGCAAACTTAAAGAGAGCTAATTTACATGGTCAAAATAGAAAGTATAATCTTGCAGCTAAGGGCAGAACTAAATACTGGCCACATGTCTCTCATAGAGCTAAGACTAAGAGCTTGTTAGACAGCAAAATCACAAATAACAACATTTGTTACTCCAAATAAATATTGTAAGTGTTAACTTTTCTTCCCCCTCCCTTGAACTACTGTCACACCCACTCTGCAATAGTGAGATGCATTCATAGAATTGTGATTTAAAATACTGATGGTAAAATCCCAACTTAGACAAAGTGCCTGCATGTGCTAGAGCTAGAAGACAGGTACTGCTGTTGTACCACTTTTCAATCTTAACAGGCAAGATCATTTGGATCAATATCAGTATCTGGGCAACTGCCCACCTACCCCTCCCCTAACTCAAGAACAGTCAATTGACGACAAGTTAAGGTTAATGTTGAGTTAGGGAAGGGGTAGGTGGGCAGTTGCCCAGATACTGATATTGATCCAATCATTTTTTAAATCACTTTAAAGTGTAAGTGTACCTGAAGGATTGCACATAGAAGATGTTAATTTTTTATTAATTACATGTAGCTTTAAGTTAACATGTGAAGCAGGATATAAATATGAGAATAAAAGTTCTGAGTTTATCTGTCAGCATAAAGCTGTTTGATTTTTGTGGTCATTGTTACATTGGTCAAAAGTAGTACAGCAAGTCTCTTAATTTAGCTGTACATACAGCTGCAGCTGTGTCAGGGCAACCCAACAAGACAGTAGAAACAAACCAACAGTATACACACATCTGAACTGTGGGATTGACCAGGCACTCACTACATGAATTTTCTGTCAATATCTTGAATTTGAAAGAGCAGGATGACAGAATAGGGTGAAAAGTGTGACAGGAAGGGTAAATATCAGACCTAAAAGGGGATTTGCAACTCTGTCCACAATGGTTTCCTGCTATGCTCCTTGATCCAAATCCATCCAAGAAGAACCCTTCATAAAATTATTCCAGCTTCTAAATCATCATGAAAAAATTCTGGTAATGATGAATTTTAGTAAAAAAGTTTTTCCTAGGGTCACTCAGAGGTATCAATTAAAGCCAGTTCCTGGCAGTCTTCTGCTGCCTGCAAGACCTCTTACTGCCATCAGTCTAGCAAGCAAGCCCTTGTGTTTGGGTATCACTTAACGGCACAGCTGCTTATAAAACCATTGACAGCTGTTTATGAAAAAGTTGTTGATATCACTGTCACTCCAGTCAATACGACAAAAATAACAGTTGCTCATTCTCCAAATTCATTAAATTAATTGTGATTTCCTCATTTATTTCCTCAGATTTTCTGAGGGACAAAATATACTATTTGTAAGGATTCTGTGTACAATTCCTCAACTACATGGAATACTGAGATCAGAAGCTTTCTTACAAAGTAATTTAGTCTTATAGATAAAGGATTCATCTTGTAAGAAACATTGAAGACGCAGAGTTGACCCACATTTCAAACTTAAAATAACAACTTAACTCAAATAACAAAAATTAAAATGGAATTCCTCAGATTTCGGTTATCAAAATAGCAATGTATAGTACAGCAGTTTCTCTGAGGAATTGCTAATCAAAGCATGAGGGTTCAACCACTAGTGTAATGTTTTAACTATTGGAAATATTAATAATATTAATTGGAACATTAGCTAGTTACTGAGTTGCCTTGGATTTTTTAGCTTTGCTTTTTTCTGTCCTCTTGTCTCTTTTCTTTAGATTGTCCATATTAGCTTTCAACACATTCGCATATGCCTTCAAAAGAAAAAAAATTACATTATGATGTGATATGAAACACAAATGATTAGCTATGTCAGAAGCGGTTTTACTATGATCCATGTCAACAAAAAAACATCATATGGTTTGAAATTTTATCCAACTCACCATTTGAAACCTATTTACATCTTTTGAATTTACCTGTGAAGTTACAACACAATGCATTAGTTAGACATGCTCTAAGGTAGCATATATATTAATAACTCTTTAACTCCCATGAGTGATCAAGACAGAATTTCTCCCTACAATATTGATACAATTCAAGCAGACAAGTAATGAGAATGAAGCGAACTATCAATTAGGTGATTATCAGTTGATCCAGTAACAAATTCTCTGAACGAAAATCATGATACAGTACAGCAGTCAGAAAGGAGAATTACTACTGAGGTCTTGGGTATGAAAGGATTAACCCTTTAACTCCCACATCAAATTTATAATTCTCTTTCTGCTAACTACACAATTCTTATAATGTTAGTTCAGAGAATTTATTGGATCAACTAATGATCCCCAAATTGATATTGTTCTTTATTCTCATCACTTATCTGGTTGATATTGTATTGATATTGTAAGGAGAAATTCTGTCTCAGTCACTCATGGGAGTTACTTTCACCCTCTTCACTCTCTCTGCCCAGGATTTTCAATAGACACAAGTGACCTGTTGTGGAAAGCTGACAAAATGCCCACAATGGACTGGTACCCATCCAAGAGGGAGTAGTAATACTCCAAGTTGCTTCATGCTAAGGAAACTCAGATAAGCTCTTGCTGGTTGGGACACTTGGCTTGAGCACTGACTTTACCTACAGTGTTATTATACCCAAGTACACAACAAAATAATCCAGACATTTTTATCATAATTCCTGGCTTTACACCAACCACTAGGCTGGTGTATCTCCCAGGGAGAGTTTGTAGAATGCTCTATATGGCTCCAAGCCACTTTTATGAAGAAAAAGTTAAAGAAATAAACATCTAATGGGCATGCTTGATGGTGAGAGCATGGCTAAACAAAATGTATAGCACTGCAAGATGCTAGCTAGATGAGTTTAGTAAGAAAACAACAGAGTCGTAGACAAACATGAAGAGTAAGATGTATATTGACTACATTATAATGAGCTGAACAGGAAAATATCTGCCTCTATCTCATTCACATGGTATAGAGAGTGAAAGAATTAATAAAGATTCTCTGCTTACCACTGTACTGAGCTTCCTTTTTCCATTTGTTGCTCTAAATAAACATCTACTCTCTCCTTCTTGTTCAACTGCTGTCAATTTTTGAAGCTTTTTGCCTCCACGTGGTTTCGGTTTTGGTTTGGTTTGTCCAAAGTCTTTTCAAAATGCACACATGTAAATAAATAAACAAATGTGTCAACTTCAAAATGAGTTACTTTGAGAAGTTATTTTGACTTAAAAACATTAAATTACAGATTGAAGCTACTGAGCAGTACTTTGATGTGTTTTTTTTTAACATGCTGAATGTGACCTTTCAGATAAAAGCTACTGGGCTATACCTTTGTGTGGTACTGTTTACTACACTGTACAGGGTAGGCATACCTTTGTGTATTACTATTAAAGTGAAGTCATTTCATGCGATCATTTTCATTGTGCTGTACAAGGCCATTTGAACTTTATGCAGTTCTTTGATGGTAGTGTTTATTCTGTTGTTAAAGGTGGTTCTAACTTTAAAGTTAGTGAAGGAAATAATACAAAGCCAGTTTATCTCCCAATGATATATGTTTTACGTAGCTATTATACAGTATTCCGTTACATGATGGAAACGAAAACAGCTTTTAAGTACTTGATAGGTAGTCTACGCTTGGCTTAACTCATTAAGTTACATTTACAGCATTTTTTTCAAAACTAAGTATCATCATGCGCAGTGGAACTTCTTTACACCAAAAGGAAACTTTGATTACCGCACAAAACCAACAGAAACCCTAACTTACATCTTTTCATTGTGATATTCACTGCACCCGATGATCTCGTCTTTTGGAGAAGTAATGTGAGCTGGGTGAGGAACTAAAACAGGAGAAATATTCCTAAGATATACCTAATAGATTTAAGACAGAAATAACCATTCAAAACTGTCAAAAGAGCAAATCTTACCCCATCGTTGTCTAATAAAACCATGCTATACTTCTTTTCTCTCACATGTATGAATCAGAGCTTAGTGACCACGTCTTCCTTTTGCGAACCATTCTGATGTGTTGCCGCAGCCCTTTCACGGGCTCTGTTACACTGGATCAGATCTTCATCTGAGCATTCAGTCTTCTTAGTGACTCAAGCGAGATATTAGCTGTCCAGAATGAGCTCTTTCCATTTTACAAAGGTCCCGCCGGATGACCAGATGTACACAGATATCAAGTCACTCAATAAATTTGAGGAAAAGCCGTTTTGTCAGCTGTTAGACATCGTGTTTTCGTTTCTTGTCTCACCGAAGGAAGGTTCAAGATTCATGTCCCAAATTGCAGAATTCGCTGAAGAACATGGACTGGGAACTAATGCGTTGAAAAATGTCGTCAAAAGTTTGCTTAGCTTCTTCAAGAGTGCATTAAAAAGTAATTTAACACCGGCTCAAGTGAAAGAAGACCTGGAACATCTCGGTAAGCTTAGGAAAATAGGATAGGAAAGTTTTGCTGGTATCCCCTCCCCCAACTCCCTTAAAATAGAGAGTACGAGGCGGGCTGGGGTAGGGTAACTGTCAAAGGCGTGTGGAACATTCATAGGCGATCCCGAAAAGTATCAAAATCTATGTTTGGCATGAAGTACTAAAAGTTGCTTATCTTTGGAGTTATTAAGTGTTAACTAGAAAAGTTTTGTGGAACTCAGTGCTGATAGTGTGCATTAATTAGCATTGTTGAATACATTTCTGTGGTACAGCCATCTGTTGGGGAAATATACTAAAACTGGTAAGGAGTGTTACATAGCCTTTTATATCCCAGCTAAACTTTGCCTTAATCATATTGAGCCACATGAGACTTTTAGATTATTTCAAGGTAAAACACTAGCTGATGCAGTTGATCATTTCCTATCACCTATTTGCTAGTTGAAGGACTGAAATTATGGAGGTAACTTGCATTTCTGGGAGTTAACAGATTCAGAAACTAACTTGTAACATGTAAGAGATTGCCTTAAAAAAATAAAAGGAATGCAGCCTTATGTTGTTGGAATACTTTTGTACAGGTTTGTCCGCAGAGAATTCTCCCCACATCTCTGAGCGATGGAAGGCAAACCTTGTTGCTCTGTCACGCTCTGTTGTTGGTCAAACATTCATGGTGAATGAACTTGTCGACATGGAATGGAAGTTTGGGGTTACAGCTGGAAGTAGTGACTTAAAAGTTGTGGGACAAACATTTTTACAGTTGAAGATGGTGGTGGATCGTGGTGGTGCACAAGAAGATGTTTTTATGGAAATGACTTTGCCACAGTTCTATTCTTTCTTGCACGAGATGGAGAAAGCTAAGTCTGCCCTTGAATATTTTAGTTGAGATGATTAATTTTGTGTTTGTATAACCTTTTAGCTCCTAAGAGTGATCAGCTTTTAAATTCTCCATGCTGAATAATACACTAGAGTCATAAGAAATGGGAAATGATTGTCAATTGACAAAGCTCTTGATTTTTTTGACCGAAACAAAACTCCTTGGCACAACCTTGGGAAGTGTGCAAAGAACAGAATGGAGAACTTGTATACTGATGGTAAGGTGTAAAGGATGTAACCCTTTGATCCCTAAGAGTGACCAGCTTTTAATTTCTCCTTTCCTTATCACCCCTAAATTAAACATTAAGTTCATGAGACTGAAAGAAATGACCACCAACTCTCCTTGTCAGCGCTTCAGGAAATGTATAGAGAAAAATATGGAAAATATGCATACTGATCTTAGGGTGTAAAGGATTTAAAAGTGTAGAGTGTTTGTTCTGTGGTTCAATTTTTCTGTTGTTACAATCTGATTTCTTTTTTATAATACAGTGTACATATACTTGTTCAGGTCTGTCCAAAAATCAATGTAGAAGGAACAAAAGAGATAATTTGTGCTAAGGATGAAAATTGATCGTGGCAAACTGTGAAAGAAGCTTTAATTTCTGAATCATATGTAATATGAAACATTCTAAAACTTAACTATAAAAAGGTGTATAGATACAAGCTAGGTCATGAACATCAGGTGCTACCATGGTTTTCTATAGACCACGACTTAACCCTTTAATTTCCAGTAGTGATTAAGAAGTAACTTCTCCCTACAATATCCATCCACGATCCAGTAAACAGGTAATGAGAATACTCAATTGTATCAGTTAGAAGTTAGTTGTTATCTTGATCTAACACCAAATTCTCATAACCTATTTACAAGGAAAGGTGTAGCAGCTAGAGGGGAGAATTAACAATCAGATCTTGGGAGTTAAAGGGTTAAAGGTCTTCATACACTGTACATGTAGTTGATAAGAATGACACACTTTGCACTATGGTGTAGCAAAAACTGAATTTCTCGTATAATGTCTTTAAAAGAATTGGCTCTGAAAGTCCTTGAGCTTATTCATTCTACTTATGGAAAGGTTACAATACTGACACTACAGTGAAGGCCAGAGTCTATTAAGATTATTTTAGCAGATAAGCTCATAGTGTGTGCCTAGAACTGTATATTTACGTCATGTATTCTTGTTATTTCTGTCACCTCCATAACTTGCAGCATTTATACAATAACAATAAAGATTTATCATTTTTCTCACAATGTAATCACTTCCCACATGGATGGTAATATTTCACCTGCAAACTGCAACAAATGCTAACTGTTAAAAGCCCATTTTTTTGTCCTTATACAGTATGGTCCAGAACACCATTTTTATAACATACTACAGAAACATGGTATCTTCTCATGTCACAGATTGTGCTTTCATTTCTCAAAAACTTTTTTTATTCTTTGATATCCTAGCTTTGCCTACTTCATATTTTTGTCCAGCATTATTTATTTTCCTTCCTGTTGGAGTTCAGTAGCTGCCTTCGTTCTTCTCTGTGTCTGGCAGCAATTTTATTGTACTGCCTACGAGTGTTGCTAAAAAATTCTGTCATTAGTTTGTTTGTTTCTTGAATAAACATGTGTCTCCTGTTGTTATTCCTTCTGGTTTCATCATCTGCTACTGTAAATGAAGTAACATAACATTTAAATTTTATTTAATTTTTTCAAACCAAAGCTTGTGCCTAGCTGTCTAATTTCTATGTCATAACTAACAAGGAGAAGACCCCTATAGCTAAAATGACTCTCAATTGGGAGGTCTGGGTTTGAGCCCTGTTTTGTTTTTGGACCAACGACTTTACTCCCACAGTGCATTAATTTTCTCTCTAAAGGTTGTAAGCAGATCACAGCAAACTGTCAAAGCAACCAGATGACATACTATGAAGACTTAATTTATGTTATAATAAAGTTTGAATATATCAGAGTCTTTTTTATAAAACAAATAAAGAAGCCATGACTGTGCTCTGTTCTGTTGTAAAGAACTTAAGAAGCCACCAGAGCACTCAAGAAATGGGGAGAAACACTTAACTATGTCTCATGTTTCTCCCTACACTTCTTTCGTGCTCTAGCCACTTCCTGCATGCTTAACCACAGAGCAGAGCACAGTCAAGGATTCTCTATTTGTTAATCAAAGTTCCTCCTTTTCACTTCTGGGTGTTTAAAAAAAGGAATTTCCCTTTTAAGTGCCACTACTTTTTTAAGCACAAAGGCAATGAGACAAAAATGGAATGTAATGTGAAGGTCATGTGACAAAAATGGAATTTCCTCATAACAATGCCATTACTTTTTCAAGTAAAAAGTTTTTACACAAAAATGGAATTTAATGTGGAGATCATGTGACAAAAATGGAATTTCAAGCAAAAAGGTAACAATAAGAAACAAAACTATCAACTAAGGGATATTGTTTAATTTAATAACTAATTCTCAGGGTTAAAATTATTTTGGTAGTAAATGAGCGAATAGCAATTTTTTAAGGTTACTGTACCTCGTTTCATGCGATGCTTCATCCATCTGCAGAAATCAAAAATACCTCCACATATAATGGCAGTAGCCAAAATTGCTGACAACACAATCACATTGAATCTGTAGGTGTTCTCGGAACTGTCAAACATTCCTGTTGCCATTTGTTCTGCTAATGAAGTTTCAGCTTGCTAAATGAAAATAATTCAACAAAAAATTAGCCCCCTTCTATGTTGAGATGTAATTATACCTGATTCATAAGTGGTTTCAAAATAGGGTGAAATTCATGGGCAACTTAGGATACAAAACTCTTTGATATTGATATGCAAAGTTTGAAGTTTAGGGATAAAGATGTTTTGTGTAGTTATACACAAGACTTATTATAAAAACTCTGATTTGTCGAGAGCATTTAGTCAATGTATAATGGTGTGTGAAGTTGACATGATAACCCAATATCTGCAGAAGATATTGGGTTATCATGTTGAGTTCAAAGTCTGCCTAGTTTCCAAGCCTGTCGTCCATGTAGTGTTCTCAAACTTTTGCAAACTCAGAGAGGTATCTCCTTATGCAAACTGTTTTAAAAATGTGTGATAAAACAAATATTGATTTCGGTTTTGGCATGATATCATGAATTATCAAATCTTATGTCTGTGTTATCCGCCCCAGCCTTCAGCTTCAGCAGATAACTCAGACCTCTGCTTTGATGATTTATGATATCATACTCAACCTCATCCAATAATTTCTTAATATTATGCATTCATACTTGTAAAGTGGCTGTGTACTTCTCTACAAGGTGTGCTAACATTGATTTTTCATTCTTGAGATAGTCAAGGAAGCAGTGCTGCAATCTGACTGAGTTCCCCCCCAAAACAATGCCAAACGATGAACGGTAGTCAATAAGCTACGGAGAGAGAAAAATATATCCTTAACCCTTTCACTCCCACAAGTGACCAAGACAGAATTTCTCCTTACAATATCAATACAATATCAAGCAGACAAGTGATGAGAATAGAGAAGAATATCAATTATGGGATTATTAGTTGATGCGATACCAAATTCTCCAAACTAACATCATAAGAATGGTATAGCAGATAGTAAGGAGAATTACTTATTAGATCTTGGGAGTGAAAGGGTTAATTGTTCGCTTGTGATGAGAAGTCAGTTATCAAATTAGCCTTGTCTTAGAGATCGCCATGTATATTACGATAGTATGATTTGTTTTTGCA